ATCACGAACTGCAAGCTCAATCACCTCCACTTCCTCCAGATTTCAATTCCATCAATTATTTGCTGGATTCACTTCAAGATTTTGCCTTAATGTTTTTTCATGCTTTTCCTCATCCATCAACTTGAGTAGCTCATTAAGAGTTGGTTTAGCTCTTAGATCTAAGCCTGTCTTAGCATTTTCAATCATAAGGTGGTTGGAGCTCATGTTTATTGGCTCAGATACCGATGTACGTGTAAAGTCTTCGAAGGAAGGAAGGATAAAGGTGAAAGAGGTTAGTCTGCAGGAGGGAAAACCAAAAAATTATCTCACTATTTTCTAGGGAAACATGCTCGTTTGATTTCTTATATATACCTAGCTTGTGCCTACAGAAGGTGGTCATCATGTCTTCTTCTTTCTCAAACTTTTTCATCTCGATCTTTTGCCTCCCATTTGTTTTGTTGGTCACAGAGTTATTATTTTTCGTCATGAAAAATTGTAAAATATAAGGGTGTATGGAAAGATGAATGATATTTCTCATGCATGAGTCATTATAATTATTCTTATTATTAGTTATCTAATTAATTCATATTAATCCGTATTTATTTTGGTGGTTAAGAGTCTAGTAGCGGTGAGTGAGGGAGTCCAACCGGTATTCATTACTATTTCGATATATACTGTGATCTCGTAATCTCTACAAAATAGCATTTGAAATTCATTATCAATCACAATCCAATAAAATAATACATGTATTTGGTAATAATAACGAAATATTCGATAAGATATTTGATACATTTCAAATACTGATACCAAACTTCCGGTCATACTTCATAAACAAATTGTGCATCATTAGAAGGATAAATAATTTTTTTTGGTTGAGGATTATATATATTAATGGGAATTGGGAAAAAAGTTTACAGAAAAACAAAACAATACTCCACCCGAACAAACTGGGGGGAAAACAGGCATGAGAATGCCAAAGAAAATGACAAACTGAAAGTGGAAACCCCCAGGCAAAAACTGTCCAAAGAGGACCTGACCCTTGAAACAACCCTCTCAGATCACAAAGTGACATTGAACACAAAGCTCCAATGAATCAAAAGAGGAAGCAAGAAGTCCACAAACATGCCACAAGACATCCAACATCTCATCCAACAAAACCTGTCAAAAGTGCCTTTACCTAGAATCAGTATCCCAAGAGCTACGGACTCACTTCCACAGCCACCATCAACTGCCCTGCTGCTGGCTCTGCCGGGGGAAAGGAATTAATTCGTCTTTCAAAATTAATAGCTAAGTTTCAGTTTCTTGTTTGGTAACCTTCTACGCCGCGGACAACCAGCTTGCAATAGCACAACCTATACGATATGACGTGATACGAGATGATGCTGCAACACCTCTGAAGATTCGAGAATTCCTTTCCAACCATATGTTCCAGCAGTAAGTGTGTAAAAATACCTTGGTACACCACTGACTAGGCTTTGACGGCTTTTGACAGTACCAGTTAGAGATCCTTGCAACAATGTCTTCATTGGCGTTGTTTTCGACTTCAAATTGTACAAAAGAACCCATAATCCGCCAAATTTCCTTCGAGTTGTTGCAGCTGATGAAAAGATGATTGGTATTCTCCTCATCCTTTTCACAATGGACACACCTGCTTGGTAGTTGTATCCCTTTCTTCTTTAGGTTGTCGTCAGTGAGGAGCTTCCTATGATAAAGGATCCAAAAGAAAGCACAGACTTTACTTGGAATTGTTTACTGCCACACCATCTTGAATGGATAATCGTCATTCCCTGGGAATTTGGCTGATGCAAAATGATCATATGCCGACTTGACGCTAAAACCATCATCTGAATTTGGAAGCCACTTTAACCTTTCTGGCCTTGCAAGAAAGCTAGAAGAAGAAAGATTTCCAAGTAAATTCATTAGTCTCACTCTCTCTCCCCCCCCCCCCCCAGAAAATTTTTTAAAGGAATTTCCCACAGCAAGCTCGACTCATTGATAAACAAGTGCTCTGCAACAAAGGAATTCAGGGATTCTGCCATCACACGCGGAAACTCAGTCGCTAAGCATATACCTCTGATCCAATGATCATGCCAGAATGACGTCCAAGAACCACTTCCTTGATTAACGAGAGTCACTTGTCTAAAAACTGACATCAACTTCATTACTTGTGACCAGGGGTTGCATCTTGCGCTCCCATAAACCTCCCATGCAAACCATTCCGAAGTATCATTCGGGAACTTGGTTGCAATAAGCTCTCTCCACCAAGCACTTCATTCGGTAGCAAATATCCATAACCACTTTAAAATGAGAGACTGGTTGTGAATCCCCAGATCCCGGATGCCCAGCCCTCCTTTTTGACTTGTTGTTTTGCACAAGTCCCCCAAAATTAAATGGAACCTCTCCTTGTCTTGTGATCCAGACCAGAGAAAATCTATCTGAATCTTTTCCAATGACTTCACGACGCCCTTTGGGATTAGAAATAGAGAAGATGTGTAGATGCTTTGACTTGCTAATACTGCATTAATCATCACAATCCTCCCCCTATAGATAGAAACATTCCTTTCCAACTCTCAAGCCTTCTCTGTACTTTGTTGATGATAGGATTCCAAATATTAAGGGAGGAGGTAGGAGCTCCTAATAGTAGCCTGAGGTAAGTCGTGGGTAGGAAGCCCCCATCACAACCAAATAATCCGGCCAGCCTGTCCAAATTGACAACTTCTCCTACTAGGAATTTTTTTGATTTTCCAAGGTTAATTTTTAGTCCCGTGATGCTTTGAAAACAAACCAATGCTGCCAAAACGTTCAGTACCTCCTCTTCATTGCCTTCACAGAAAATGATTGCATCGCCCGCATAGAGAAGATGGGTAACTGCTCCACGCAGATTCTGCTCATTGAAACAAAAGCCAGAAAGGAAACCCTCCTCACTTAAGTTGGATAATATAAAAGAAAGGATATCCATCTCCAGATTGAAGAGGAAAGGCGATAGAGGGTTGCCTTATTTAACCCATTTTGGCATCCCGAAGAAACCCACAGCTTCTCCATTGACCAAAACTGAAAGTCTCGAGGAGGTCACCACTCCCCTGATTCATTTTTGAAACCGCGGGTGCATTTTCATGGACTTGAGAACTTCAAACATACAGCCCCAATTGATTGTATCAAAAGCCTTCTCAATATCTAACTTGACTGACAAGCTAGATTTGTCACTTCTTCTGCGGCTATCGATCAACTCATTTGCTATGAAACTAGCTTTGTGAATGACTCTGCCTTTCGTCCCTGCAAACTGATATTTTGACACTGCAAATCTCATAATGGGTTGTAATTGAAGAGGAGCTTGGAGATTAATCTGTTGAGACTACCCATTAGACTAATAGGCCGAAAGTCCGAGAAGTCCTCAATCACATCCTTTTTTGGTAGCAGACAAATAAACGAGTGAGCAATTGACCGTGGGAGAGATCTGGAAAGATAAAAATTGTCCAGGGCCTTGATTAAATCCTGTTTGATGATATGCCATGCCTTTTTGTAGAATTCCATTGTGAATCCGTCAGGACCGGGTGCGTTGTCACCATTACACTGGGTTACTGCTTGTCAACCTTCATTCTCCGTGAAAGGTTGTGTCTAACTGTCGTTTTGAGTCGTGGAGAAGGAATACGGCCTATAGTTTTTGGAAAAGGTCTGATTCCCTCACCTTCCAAGAACTTGTTTTGAAAGAAGGATACAACGCCAGCCTTTATCTCACCTTCATCTTCTGCAACCAAGCCATTGATCCCTATTCTGTTGATCTTGCTTCTTCTTCTGTTAAATTTGGCGACATTGTGGAAGAAAGACGTATTTTTATCCCACTAGGAGCCAAAGTTCTCGTGATTTCTGTTGCCAAGCGATTTCTTCTATCAGTAGTATTTTCTCCAATTCACATTTCAGAATAGCCCTTTCAGAAGCTGCAGCGCTGAGATCACCATTCTCTTCAGCTTTATTGAGTTCCTTCACCTTTAAGAGTAGTTCAGCAATCTTCTTCTCCACTTTCCCAAAATGTTCCCTATTCCACTGCCTGATCAGGAATTTTGTTTGCCTACACTTCTGTCCAAACCTGAAAAGGTGACTCATACCACTAACTGGGACGCACCACCTCCCGACTAGGCTGGAGAGGAAGGACGATTCTTGGAACCATAGGTTCTCGAATCTCCAAGGATGTATAAATTTCTCAGCTCGGCCCCAACTTAGAAGGATCGGATTATGGTCATATTCAATACGATCGAGAGCAATGATAGCGCCTGAAGAGAACTCCTGATCAAAAATGAAGTTGATAAGTGCTCTGTCGATACGAGAGAGGGAACGCTCTTTCCCATTCTTGCTCCAAGTAAACCCGGACCCTTGCAATGGAAGATCGAGAAGATTGAAATAGCTAATGAGATTGTTTAATTCCTCAATCAACTATGCACTTTGAGCAACTCCAGTATAGACATCTGTTGATCTAACGAGATTAAAGTCGCCGATTATACAGAGTGCTGCTGAGTAATTTGACATACAAATTCCAACTCCTTAATAAACTCTAGCATATCTTCTTTAGTCTGAGGACCATACAAAACAAGAAAGGAAATAACTTCCTCTGATTCCATAATTTTGAGTTTTACTGCTAGCGAGTACTTTCCTTCCCAAATCAAGAGTGCCTGATAGATCTTGTTATCCCAAATTATCACAATGCCACCACTAGCACCATTCGAATCCTTGGCAGCCCAATCCACTGGTTTGCTACTGCTTACAGTTGTAATAAGACATCGATCACAAGTGCTCCATTTCGTCTCTGAAAGACCCAAAATTGACGGTTTCCATCTTTTGAGGATTCTTTTTACCTTTGCTCGCTTTGCTGGAGCATCCAAGCCCCTGACATTCCATGCAATGAGAGAGTGGATCATTGGGAGACCACGCGATTAGCATTCTTGATACTAGTGGGTTTTCTTCCCCCTCGACGCTCTGCTTTGCATTGGGGAGGGTAATATTTGAAATCTGGCTTTTTGTATTCCGGCTCATTGGGGTTCCCACCGCCTCGGTTGAGGGAACAGATTCCGCCGGCTATGCGCAACCCTGTCGGAAGAAGGACGACCCGATTCTAGACTGTGACTGTTCGCATATCCTGAAAACAGGGAACACTTGTTCAAACTTGCCGAGGAAGTCACACTATCTGGTGAGGCGACGATTCTGACGACGGACATGGTTGTCCCAAACAGCACTGGAACTTTGTCAGGGATGTGAGTTTTTCGCAGTACTTTGATGAGGACAAAAGCATCGGACCATTCACCGTAAAAAATGTCCAGGAAACCCCCATAAAAGTCGCCAATCTTCTTGAACAATTCAAAGCACCTGAGATGAGATAGGATACCAAACGGCATCACCCAAGCCAAGACACCATGCGGGGAGAGGCTTCTTGATAGACCATTGATTGCAAATATTTTTACCCCTATTCTTGAGCCATTTGAGATGTTGATTCTCGTGTTTTAGGCCGATTTCATGCTAGGTTGTTCTTGTTTGTGATATTTCAGGTCCTAGTACGTGAATGAAGGTTTGTGAACGAGTTCGGGTCGATTGGACGAATATTGGACGTTTGGCGAGAAGCTGGGGAACTCACACGGGCATGCCTAAAATTCCACACGGCCGTGTGACTTGGCCGTGTGGCACCACTTTGCATGGGCAAGCCACACTGGCCGTGTATGGGACCCCTTGTGGCCGTGTAGAAAGTCCAGGTAGCTCACACGGCCAGACTGGACATCCACACGGTCGTGTGCCTCGGGCCGTGCAGCGTGCCTGAAGTCCACTAATCGAAATGCGGTGTTTTGACATCCACACGGGCAGACTGGAAAGCCATACGGCCGTGCGGTAGGGAAATTCTGCGTTTTAACCCAATTTCGAGCCAAAGAAAAGAGGGAGCTGGGTTTTGGATCCCAAACACCCAAGGGACGAACCAGAGATAGGGCGATTTGAGGGCATTCTTGGAGTGGAATTGGAGGATTTCTTCGCCTTGTAAGCTCGAGGAACAAGCCCGGACTTGAAGACTGATCATCTGAAGATTCTTACTGCAGTCTATATCTTCTCTATGGAGTAACTTCCCTTCACTTAGGTTTTGAGGAACCCTAGCTATGTTTGTCTGATTGGATGATTGTATGAGTATTCCTACTTGATAATCTTGAGTTCATATTCAATCTATGCACGTTTTCATGATTCAATTCTGCTTTAGTCGATATTATTGATTATGCTTTGATCCTATGAGAGTGAATACCTGATCAGGTCAATAGAGCACCATAGATTGATAGTATTGGATCAATTGCTTTAGTCGAGGGTTGATTCACTTCTTTGTATCGATTGAGAACCTCTTTCGATAGAGGGATTCTAGTTCAGAACGCCTTGATCGATTGTTCTAGAGAAGGATACATCCCTCTAGGCAATTGAGTCAAGAGGGCCTTGTTCCTTTAGTCGAGACTCAAGGTCTAGTTAAGGATTCTCCGCATTGTGAATGAAAGTGAAACAGGTTAGAGATCATCAATCATTAATCTGGCTAGTGGCTAGGGGGAATCATACCTAAGTGAGTTCCCAACCTGTAATTAGATTAACTTTAACTGTAGTTTGTTAGAGTAGTTTTAGTTCTTCCATCTTAATCTGGTTTGCTAGATAATGAACTGAAGTTGAGTAATAGTAACTCTGGAGACCTGTGGATTCGATATTTATTACTTGAGCCACTATAATGCAGTCCCTTCATTGGTTACACTTGGCCATTGTTAGGAGTTGTGTCATAGCGAGTCATGTTTTTGGCGCCGTTGCCGGGCACTTTCTAGATTATTAGGAAAGACAGAAGTTTGTTATTTTAGCGTTTTTCTTTTCTTTTCCACCCTTGCTTTTCACTTGGGTGTTTTTGTTTTTGTTGGTGCAGATCTAAATCATGGATCCTCATGGCTACTCCAACCATTGGGGTTATCCACCACCATACGAGTGGTATTACCCCGAGACTCCCTGGAGCAATCAAGGAGGAGAAGACTATGGATTCGGGTTCCAGTACCAACCCCCTTACTACGGAGAACAATCAGACCCCTGGGCATATCAAGAACAACCTCATTTCCAAGAAGAATTTCTCCCACAACCAGAAGGGCCATCGGAGCTGGAGTTAACCATGGCGGCCTTCACGGGCCATTCTGTAGAGCCATGCTACACTCCACAACCAGATCCAAATTATGAATTGAGGCTTCTCATGGAGCAGTTTGCTCGAGACAGTGAGGGATAATGCTCCAGGATGGATCTTTGTACCCAGGCCTATTGTGAAACAAAGGAGATCCTCCTGAGCATTAAGAGGAGCCTCGATGATCTTGAGAAATCTTATGCACAGCCTTATCAAGATCACCCTTCGTCTACTATACTAGAAGAGGAGGAGGAAGATGAAGGCTACGAAGACATTGTGGAGCACACAGAAATTGTCACGGAGAGCTCCCATGATGATCATGATCAGGAATGTCCTGTCGTAGCCTACCACACCTTCCCACATCCCACACTGAGCTTTGAAGAGGCGGGCATGAGTGAGGAGATGCAAGAAGATTTCATCAAAGAAATTTCTTGGCGACTTGCCCTCCAATCCGTGTTGGAAGAAGAACAGCAAGAAAGGGTGTAGAAAGAAGTTGTGGAGGATGACGAAAGTGAAGCAGAAGGAGTTCTTGATCATTTCCCAGGGGTGATACCACATGAAGAAGGAAGAAGGGTTGAAGAAGTAATTGGCGTCCAGGTCGAGGACGAAGCTGAGGTGGAAGAGGCGTGCACCGGCCATGAGTTACATGTGATATCTCCACCAAACTTTGAGGAACTACTTAGCAAGAACCCATTTGCAGTGTCTCTTTGCCAGACCAAGGCCACATCGACATCGGTCCCTCTTGGTGGACGCAATGGTGGTCAATCGATGTTGTCATATCTGGTTTGGGGCAATGAGACGAGAGAAGAGAAGAAGAGGTCTCGAGGGTGGAGACTTCATCTGCATCAAGTGCACGAGCTCCCCTCACCTGTCATACCACATGCTCGTGACTTGAGACTCCACCTTATCGACGAGAACCTCAACTTCAAGGAGGTTTTGGGGTGGACCGAAGCTTAGGAGCCATCGTCCGGCTCATAACGTGAAATAAGCGCTTGTTGGGAGGCAACCCAACCAGTCAGTTTGCATTTCTTTCTCTATTTCACCTCCGTTGAGTCAGTTTTGTTCTTTGATTTTAGAGTAATAACTCAACCTTTGTGAGATTTTGTGTGGTGTTTGCGTTCTGACTACTCTCTCCTCCTGGAATGCACCACCTGCCCCGTCCACCATCATTCACCCTTGAGGACAATGTCATGCTTTAGTGTGGGGGGTGTTCGATTATGTATGCGGGTGAATGTTTGGCTGTTTGTGTGCTTGGAGCCTAGTCCACTGTCCAAATTTTTAAATTTGCGGGCTCCAAGTACGTGTTTCCTTGCAAATTGCCTGCTCAGTATGCTTTGAATTGATAGTCTCTATAGTAATGTGAAATCTAGGGAGGTAGTGTAGCACTATGGAGGATGTTGAACTATAAGATTTTTCCTATCTAGCTCTCTGTTGTGCTAGTTGATTTTGTGAATTAGTGGAGCTAAGATCGTTATATTCATGTGGTAATGGTGACTCTGTTTGGATTGTGTTATGGACTCGTGATCGAACAGGGGGCTCATGTGGGAAATGAAAAGCATTTGGTCCTCCATGTCGAAATCATTGAAATCTTAAACATGGGGTAAGCCCAACGTGTGTGGCACCGTTCATTGCACAAAATCGGGTTCTGGAAGAGATTTTAGTGATCCTTAGTGGGGTAATCCTATAAGGTGAAGCTAAGTTGTCTTTAGTACAAGTAAAATTTTCACCCGTTGAACGGTTTGCCTACTTGAGGATGTGTTTTTAAGGGCACGGATAGAGCTTCCGACCCCCCTTAATTTCATTGACCCTCCACACGAGTTGAGGAAAAGGAGTTAAAAGAAATACTCTGGCGAGCGCCAGATGTACAGAAATTGCTCTTGCTCGACTAATAAGGGTCGACCGTGCAAAAGACTGCAGTTGGAACCCCCGCCAAGTGAAAAAAAAGAAAAAGAAATGTAAATGAAAGTGCAAAAAAGAGGGGTTCCAACGGTGAAATGAAGTGAAAGAGCACCCCAGTACAACGAGTCCTTGGTTGTGAATGGTGTGAGTCCCTTTATTCATGAACTGGTTGTCTTACTTCCACTTCTTCTCATGATCCTGACTTGAGTCTAGTACTCGCATTGAGAGAGATAGGGAACGTCTTAGAAGACCAATTGACCTCGTAAGCTGCTATATGATCTAGGAAATCCTATACCGACGATCGGGGTTGTTTGTTGCTATAGAGGTCTGGAGAGTTGCATTGGGTTGAGTTAGGTTTGCTTGGGGACAAGCAAACGGTTAAGTGTGGGGGAGTTTGATAGACAATTGATTGCACATGATTTTACCCATATTCTTGAGTCGTTTGAGATGTTGATTCTCGTGTTTTAGGCCGATTTCACGCTAGGCTGTTCTTGTTTGTGATATTTCAGGTCCTAGTACGTGAATGAAGCTTTGGGAACGAGTTCGGGGTCGATTGGACGAAGATTGGACGTTTCGCGAGAAGCTGAGGAACTCACACGGGCACACCTAAAATTCCACACGGCTGTGTGGCACCACTTTGCACGGGCAAGCCACACTGGCCGTGTATGGGACCCCTTGTGGCCGTGTGGAAAGTCCAGGGAGCTCACACGGCCAGACTGGACATCCACACGGTCGTGTGCCTCTGGCCGTGCAGCGTGCCTGAAGTCCACTAATCGAAACGCGGTGTTTTGACATCCACACGGCCAGACTAGAAAGCCACACGGCCGTGTGGTCGGGAAATTCTGGGTTTTAACCCAATTTTGAGCCAAAGGAAAGAGGGAGCTGGGTTTTGGATCCCAAACACCCAAGGGACGAACCACAGAGAGGGCGATTTGAGGGGATTCTTGGAGTGGAATTGGAGGACTTCTTCGCCTTGGAAGCTCGAGGAACAAGCCCGGACTTGAAGACTGATCATCTGAAGATTCTTACTGCAGTCTCTCTCTTCTCTATGGAGTAACTTCCCTTCACTTAGGTTTTGAGGAACCCTAGCTATGTATGTTTGATTGGATGATTGTATGAGTACTCCTACTTTATAATCTTGAGTTCATATTCAATCTATGCACGTTTTCATGATTCAATTCTGCTTTAGTCGAGATTATTGATTCTACTTTGATCCTATGAGAGCGAAGACCTGATTAGGTCAATAAAGCACCAATGATTGATAGTAATGGATCAATTGCTTTAGTAGAGGGTTGATTCACTACTTTGTATCGATGGAGAACCTCTTTCGATAGAGGGAGTCTAGTTAAGAACCCCTTGATCGGTTATTCTAGAGAAGGATACGTCCCTCTAGGCAATTGACTCAAGATGGCCTTGTTCCTTTAGTCGAGACTCAAGGTCTAGTTAAGGATTCTCCGCATTGTGAATGAAAGTGAAACAGGTTAGAGATTATCAATCATTACTCTGGTAGTGGCTAGGGGGAATCATACCTAAGTGAGTTCCCAACCTGTAATTAGATTAACTTTAACTGTAGTTTGTTAGAGTAGTTTTAGTTCTTCCATCTTAATCTGGTTTGCTAGATAATGAACTGAAGCTGTATGTGGGCACCGGGCCGGACTGCCGATGGGTTAGCACGGCACGAGCACGGACACAAAAATAACATTTATTTGATAGAAAATAGACATAGAAAAAATTATAGGTTGAAATATTACAAAATACAAGTAGAAAAATAATTATTTGTTGTTGTTAGAAGTGTCATAAAGATATATACGTAATTACTACCATAAGTAAAAATGGACGAAGAATTAAACAAAGCCAAATCACACCCGCTATACTTCCTATTGTTTTCCGAGAACTTCTACTATGCTATAAAGTATTGTTGATTTAATGTATAACTTTAAGTTGTGCCATAACATTAAATGTATAAGTTTAGGTTGTACCATAAAGGAATTTGTAACTTTATGTTATGGTACAACTTTATAATTTAAAGTTTTACCGTCACATAAAGGTACAAGTTCAAGTTGTACCATAAAAGTATTTCTACAAAGAGTATATGTACAATTTGAAGTTGTACCATAACGCTAAAGGTACAACTTTAAGTTGTACCATAAAGACAAAAACCTATAGCACCAATACTATATAGCATTGTAAAATTCCTCTTTTTTCCCCCTTATTTGTTACATTTCTCAAACATTCTCGGTTAATACTATCTTTCTTCGTCTAATTTTCACCTTCTTTTTCATTCTCTCTTTTATTTTCTTCCTTTTCAGTAGACACGAATACGAGCACGACACAAGCACGAATAGGCACGGCACGATTCCAACCGTGCTCGGGCCTGGACCGGGCCTAGAAAAGTTAACAAATGGGCTTTCACGGCACGACACGAAAAGTGATGGGCCGTGCCAAGCACGACGCGAAATAAATGGGCATGAATCATGCCCGTGCCGTGCCGGCCCAAGCACGGCCCAACGCCCATGTACAACTGAAGCTGAGTAATAGTAACTCTAGAGACCTGTGGATTCAATATTTATTACTTGAGCCACTATACTGCAGTCCCTTTCATTGGTTACACTTGGTCATTGTTAGGAGTTGTGTCATAGCGAGTCACTTCTTCCAGCTTCTTCTTTCCAGAATCTGATGATAACATTCCAATCTCTAAACTTTGAGTGTCCAATCTCTTCGATTCTGATTGCCTCGGGTAAGGAGGCACACGTCAGGAACCACAAATCACCCATCCTCCTTGAGAAAGAACTCTCCGCAGATAGCTTCCATTCCTTTCTTTCCCAAGCTTCGAAATCTTTGGAGAGCATACATGGGATCCCTCTGTTCCGCTTATCACCAAACTCCAGTGAAAGACAAGTATCCAGAAAACTTAGTCGATCCTGGACACCCTCTTCTCCCACGTCGGTGTATTCAATTGAGTTAAAACTTTTGAACTGACAAACCACCTAGAGAGGTGGAAATCTACCGGAGACCACCGATGCGTAGGATCTATTCGGGGATACCCAAGCATTTTGGGAAATGGTCTTCTTGACGGGGATATTTCCTTTGCCTGCCGCTTGCAGCTCGCCGCCAACCTGGAAAGGCCTTTGGCATAATGAGGAAAAACGATGAAATAGAGCCTGCCGTCATCGTTAATCTCTGAGATTTTGAAGCAGCAACCTTCTTTTCCGGCAAATCTATCGACCTGAATGATTCGATTAGCCTCCTTTCTTCTCTTTGAGTCCAAATACCAACCAATCTCCGAGATTCTAGCAAGTAGGCGACCAAGCCATTCAGCGTGGGCAGTTTCCAGAAGGATGCACCGGCGTCGGCGGGAGGGACAGTCGACTGACTGTTTCCAAAGTGATTCCCGCGAACACTCTTCGAGTTGAATGGTTGAACGACCGAATGCAATCCTAGATCTAGAAGGCAACGCATGCCGCGAAAGAGGATCCGAAGCAACGACTGCAGAGGAATACCGAGTTTCCGCCAACGACCTGCAAAGCGAAAAACTATGGCTAGGAAATTTCGCTCTCTCACTCTCACTCTCACTCTCACTCTTCTCTCTCTCACTCTTCATCTCTCTCTCACTCTTTTGGGAGAAATTTTGTTGATAGCCACCCTTTTAAGGATAAATAAATAATTCCGTGACTATATTCTCCGTCAGCGACTCAGCGCAAAGCTAAATGAACATTATCCCAATTCTGAAGACTATGATGAGCCGTTTGAGGCTTTAAGCCCAAACCACTCGCGCATGGCCCATGGTAAACCCTTGTCGGACAAAGCCCAAGCTCTGAAGTTGACATTTTGCTGCACATATCACTGCCATTGAACCGTTGGTTTCCAACTGACCCGTCTATCTTCCCCCTTTTTTTGTTCCTTTGAAGACGCCTATAGACCTGGCAATCGGGTCGGGCTGGGTAATTTTGGGTTGAGGAATCTGGTTACGGGTCGGGTCATGTTAGATTGGCTGATTATCGGTCAAATACTGACCCAACACATTCGGTTTCGGGTCGGGTTACAGGTCATTTCGGGTTATGAGCGCTCTCAGAAACAATATCAAACATGCTTCATATTTTTCTTAAAGAACACAAATTTTCACATATGCATGACAATAGTTTACATAACACATGTCAATTAATATATTCTCAAATTCTCCCATGCTAATGAAATGAAATATAAAATGTGCAAATCATCAAAAAAACAATCATAAGAGTAATATTACTACAAGAAACACATGATATTTGATTATTCTTAAATTCCAAACATGTCATTCAAATCCTTAAATTTTTTTTTTTAAACATCTCACCTAGGGGTGGGATTCGGTCGGTAAACAATTTACCGTTTACCGAATTTACCGGTTTCGGTATACCGAAGTTGGCCAAACTGGTTACTGATCACCGATACCGGTTTGTAATCGGTTTACCGATTACCGAATTACCGGTAAACGGTTACAAACTGGTATTACCGAAATACCGTGAGAAGCGATTTCGGGCGATTTTTCTGTTGGTTTACCAAATATTTACCGAACCGAATTTCTGGAAGTGGGGTGATGTTGTAATATTTTGATTTTTTTGAGTTTTTTTCATCATTTTTGTAAGTAATAATTTATTATTAACTCTTATTTACAATATTTTTGAGGCCTATACTTACATTCATGTATGTAATGTTTTATATTTTTGGGGGTAAAGCAACAAAATGCAGCGTAGCACTAGGGAGTAGGGAGGGGGGATTCGGTATCGGTAATACCGATTTACCGTCGGTATTTACCGACACCGTGTCCGGTAAACCGACTCCCCCAACTTCCCGCTCGGCTGCCGATACCGCCGGTAAACAGTTTACCGTTTACCGCCGGTTACCGGTTCGGTAAAACGGTAAACCGTTTACTGGATTACCGTTTACCACCCCTAATCTCACCAATTCAAAAGTGTTTTTATCATTTTGGAAATGATATATAAAATGGAACCGGTCTAACGGGTTGACTCGGTAACCCATCCAAACCAACCCAAAAACACATTGGTTATCAGGTTTGAGTTATTCGAATTTCGAGTTATAAAATCTAGGTCGGGCCAACGGGTCAGATTATAATTTTTCATTTCTTGATGCCTATCTCCAAGACGACAGAGGCGGGATGCTCTGTTCATTCCTAAAGAAATTGGCCGGATCCACCGCCGTCTTCACTCTCACCAATCTATCGAAGTTGTTCTTGTAGTACCTGGAACCCCAACTCCTCGCTCGCCTGTAGTCACCCTTTCCGCCGCCACCGCCACCGCCGTCGCCGTTCCTTCCAAAATCCAGATCCCTGTAATTAGCATACGCTTCTCGAGGATTCTTCGATACATAAGGCGTCATGTACTCGTACAACCCTCTCAACCAATTCAAGTACCCATCCGCCGCTTCAACCCCGTCTTCGACCCAGAATGCCACTTCTTCGACTTGGTATATATTCCCGGCCCTGTGCGGGAACGGAATGCTCGATTCCGCAATCTCGCTCATTTTTCCACCGTAAGACGCCAAGATCAAACCACCGGTCTGAACTCCTACCTCCTTCAGCTTTTCCCAAATCCCTTCTAAGCCGCTTATCGGTATGGGTTCTTTCACATAGTCGGATTTCCCTTTGAATTTCGCCGACCCAGTTGCTGAAATCGTCCTGTCCAGCAAGCTTTCCAGCGGGGAATTGAGTGGAAATCCGGCAAAGTAGAGAATCGATTTCGCCCAACTCATCTCCACGCAGTTCTCCCTTCTCAAACCCAGATCTGGGAATTTTGCCTCCATCATCGGAATCAAACCCTCGATGCTTCCGAGGTAGAGTGAATTGAAGGAGGCTTGAATAGTTGTGGCGTTCGCTTGAATTGGATTGACCACTCTGTTCAGAACCACCATGAAAAACACATCGTTGGAGAGCTTATCAACTACGTACTGCCATCGATGGACGATCTCCGTCGCGTTCTGTTCCAGAGTCCTCGTAACAGTGCACGCCGTAACACTCGCTGGGACGGGGACTAGTTTGATTTTCCAGGCGATGACAATTCCAAACGTGTTGCCACCTCCGCCTCGAATCGCCCAGAACAGATCTTCTCCCATGGATGCTCTGTCCAGGATCCTGCCCTCGGCATCAATTACTCTGGTGTCGAGCACGTTATCTGCGGCGAGCCCATACTTCCGCAACAGAGTTCCCCAACCACCGCCGCTGATCTGCCCGCCGAGCCCGACCGTGGGACAAATTCCTGATGGGAACGCCAGAGTGGAACTCTTCTCTGCGATCCTGTAGTAAAGTTCCCCTGTAGTCACCGCCGGCTGGATCCAAGCGGTCTGCTGAGCTAAATCGATGCTTATGTTGCGAAACCTGATGAGATCGAGGATGAGGAAGGAGGAATTCTGGTCTGGGGAGGTGTAGGAAAGGCCCTCATAGTCGTGGCCGCCGCTTCGGATCCTGATTTGAAATTTTTGCTTCTTGGAACAGATGATTGTGGTTTGGATTTGGGGAATGGAATCTGGGGTGATGATGAGTACTGGCTTTGGGCTGGCGCTGGTGTTGAACCTGCTGTTTTTGATTGAGAATTGAAGGATGGAGTCATAAGAGGAGTTGGTTGGGGTGAAGGTGACTTGGGAAATGGTGGTGTTGTAGTTTTGGGAATAGAGGCACTCGAGGATTGATTCTTCATGGCTATGGCGATCAGCTGAGTTGAGGTATGGAAAGGAAATAGCGATGAGGATCAGTAGGATGCGAAGAACTCTCGCCATGATGGTTCAGTTTGGTTCTTTGTGAATTGGAGACGATCCCCTTTTATGTCCAAACTACCAAGGTGAAGTTCAAATGTCAACGGCCTATGGCGGCCAAGAACTAGGAGTTGAATTAACTTGATGCAAGCTGCCAACTTGCATATAGTCAGCCTTACGAAAAAGGGTAACATGGTTGAATTAACTAGATGACATGACAATATGGGAAGAAAAGAATAGCAGTCTTGGAAGCGGTCCAAGCTCGAAAACGATGATAAATTTTTCTGTACGACATGTATCACAACATCTAGGAAATTGTTACGAACAGATTCAAGAGTTTCTTGTAACAGAGTTGCTAAGGTTTACTGAAAACTTCAAAGTGGTGTAACATTTTCTACATACCTGAATTTCATTATGACCCACCCTTACTACTTACTAGCATTCGGTATTACAATTCGCTACTCATCAGCCTGGAAAGCATCAGGAACCGGCGGAATGCTCTGTTCATTACGAAAGAAATCTTCAGGATCCACCGCGGTCTTCACCCGCACCAACCTGTCGAAGTTGTTCTTGAAATACTTCATCCCCCAAATGCTCGCTCTCTCGTACGCCGACTCGCCTCCTCCTCCAACACTGACAGCATCGTTCATCCCCAGATCAAGATCTCTCGAATTCATGTACGCACCTCGCGGGTTCTTAGAAACATAAGGCTCCATGAAATCGTACAGTTCCCTGATCCACCCAATATTTCTTTCCGCGGCTTCCTCGCCACCCGTGTACCAATACATATAGTACTGGATCTTGTAAATGTTACCAGCTCTATGCGGGTATGGCACGCTGGATTCCGGGATCCGGCTCATTTTACCGCCGTGAGGCATGATCTCGAACGAAATCGCCCCGTCCTCCACTTCAGAAAACCTCTCCAATATCTTCTCCAACTCTGCTTCAGGAATTGGGGTTTGAACGTAGTCCGATTTCGCTTTGAACCTGCCAGTTTTGGAAATGGTGATGCTCCTGTTCAGCAATACTTCTAAGGAACCATTGATTGGAAAATCGGCAGAGTAGAGGATCGACTGGATCCAGCTCATTTCAATGCAATCCGATCTTGAAACGCCCAATTCAGGAAACCTCTGTTCCAACAGGGGAAGTAGAGAATCTGTTTTCCCCAGGAACATGGAATCGAAAGAAGCTAGAATCGTGCCGTTGTCTCTGCTTAGAGAAGCCATGACGATTAGATCGTCTGGGAGCTTGTCGACCACGTGCTGCCACCGGTGGAACAACTCGATTCCCTTGTGCTGAGCAGTTCTCGACACTGTAAACAGAGTCACCGTGGGAGGAACGGAAACCAAGCTCAGTTTCCACGCTACGACAATCCCGAAAGTATTTCCTCCACCTCCGCGGATTGCCCAGAACAAATCCTCCCCCATGGAAGCTCGATCGAGGATTCTACCTTCCAGGTCGACCACTTGCGCATCCACCACGTTGTCTGCTGCGATGCCGTGTTTGCGTAGTAGGGAGCCGTAACCTCCGCCGCTGATGTGGCCGCCGAGACCCACCGTCGGCCACATTCCCGCGGGAAAGGCTAGCGTTCTGCTCTCGGCGGCTATGGCGTAGTAGAGCTCTCCTAAGGTGGCTCCTGCTTGCGCCCAAGCGGTGTTTGAGGGCACGTCCACTTGGATGGCTCGGAGATTGCGGAGGTCTAGGACGAGGAAAGTAAGGGACGGGGAGATGGTGGAGTAGGAAAGGCCTTCGTAGTCGTGGCCACCGCTTCGAACTCTGATCTGAATCCTGTGTGCTCTAGAGCACCGGATTGTGGATTGGATGTGTGAAATTTGTCGCGGTGTGACGATCAGTGACGGCTTTGGGGTGGCAGAGGTGTCGAACCTCGGGTTTCGAATGGAGGATTCGAGCAAGGACGAGAAGGAAGAGTTGGCTCTAGTGTAGACGATGCTTGTGATGTTCGAATCATGGAATTCGAGGCATTGCAGGAATTCCTCGTAAGGTTGGGATGAAGTTACGCCGAAGAGTAACACGAAGAGGGCAACGAGAATTAGAAAGCATCGATGAGCAGTATCCATGTTTTCGTTTTACTACAGAACTTGGATTGATTGTAATCTTGGAGCAATGATTATATAATCTGCATCACTGTTACAGTGTTTGCAGCCGGTGACTCTGTTCTAGAAGTAGATGGCTATTACTTGTTGGTTGACAGCATTTCTTGGTCAGAATAAGCTTCCTGTGATGTTGTAATTTCAGGCACTCAAATGCAGCTATGGAGGCACCAAGCTGAAACCAGGGTAGTTGGTAGAGCAGCTCGACCAGAATCAGAGACTTGCAGGCATGGATAATGCATTAGATTATTACTACATCGCAGCTTACCCTCTCCGACAAGTTCAAACAATATGGCGTTGGACTTCGTCAGTAACATGATCTAGCGAAGTAAGCAACAACACCTCAAACCAACCAAGAAAACACAGAAAAGGTCTGCAGTCTACTGAATCTATGAAGACGTCCTCAATTCCGGGATGCATACGGAGTACTAAACATGGTGGGGTTGCTAACCAATTTGGTTATCCAATCAGCTTGTATGCAAAAGTTTAGGCATTGAACTTTGAAATCTGATTGGCAAAAGCATGCTCGCTATCGCTTCGCGTATTAAAAAAATAAATATTTTAAAGAGTAGTAGTTTTTTATTTACAATAACATATAGTCGATGAACTTGCATAAGTTAGAATGACCATCAAATAGATTATTTATGTTTGTATGGTTAGAATGACGTATGTTAACCTTACGGTACACTCATATGTTTTGTTATTTAAAGCATGAATTAATCGGAGTTTGAGGTATGATACAACAATACATAAATGTCAATGCTGGGACACAATCAAAAGAGGGTGTGACTATATCAGGATCCTGAATGGTGACATCAAGAGAATTATTATTGAAGACTCGTTGATTTCTATACCAGTTCAATTGAAGGATGGTTTTGGCAATGCATCTTACATGTTGTTCTCTGGCAAATGTGGTTGTAGCGTAACCAACGCATCTTCCATGACTTAAAGACACCTGCATGTATTATTTGATGAGTGCAGGACGTGGTTAGTAGTTGGGCTTGGGAAGGGTTTAATTGTTCATGTTTGTTAGTTATGTATTATGGGCATGGGGGGGGGGGGGGGTATTGCTGCCGTGTTCGGCTAGGAGAGGGAGAAGGGGGTTGGGTCGGCGCTAGGGTAGGAAACTAATAGGGTTGCGTACTGTATAAATGTAAGTTCGGCATTAATTCGTATTATCAGAGAATAAACCTAAAAACAGTCTTTCGACACTTTACGTCGTTCTCCCGCTTGTGAGTTACAAGCAAACTCCCGAACCGAGAGTTTCGGTTCATCAACTTGTTATCAGAGCCTGGTACGAATGGTGGGAACCGCGGGCGAGCGTTGTACAGCCTTGGAGGCCGCACAAGAGCAGACCAATGCGATCCTGACGACTTTGGCCCAACGCACAACTACCCTGGAGGACGCGCTGTAGGAGGTGGTGACCCAGCTGCAGACGTTGACGGCCGAGCAAAAATGAACCAGGGAGCTGCTGCAGCGTCTCATGATGAAGGAGCTGGGGAAGGAGCCGATGACGGAGGCCGCGTTCGACGGCAGCGGGAGCGCCGCCAAAGACGGCGCCAAGGAGGACCTCAAGGTGGCCGGCGCGATGAGCGGCACCACGTCCACCGAACCCGGAGGCGACCGCGGCTGCGGTAGGGACCGGTCGGGCAGCGGTGACCGTGGCGGCGGTGAGGATCGGGGGAGTGGGGGACCCAAAAGCTCCGACGGAACAACCTTCCTGGCAAAGTTAGCTCGGTTGGAATTTCCGAAGTTCATGGGAGACGATCCGGGAGTGTGGTTTCCTCGGGTGGAGCAATTTTTTAAATATCAAGAGGTTCCAACTGATCAGAGAGTGTCGTTGGCTGCTTTTCATCTGGAAGGTGAAGCAAATCAATGGTGGCAGTGGCTGAAGCGAACGTATAAAGATACAGGCGAACCCATTACGTGGGATCTATTTACGCAGGAATTGTGGGCTCGATTTGGGCCAACGGAAGGCGAGACCTGCGACGAGGCATTGTTGCGCATCCGGCAGACCAGGTCGCTGCGCGAGTATCAACGGGAGTTCGAGAAACTGGTCAATCGTTGCGTGGGGTGGACGCAGCAGGCACTGGTGGGTACCTATCTCGGCGGGTTGAAGCCGGAAATCGCGGATGAGATCAGGATGTTTCGGCCACACACTTTGCGAGATGCCATCAGCCTCGCTAGGATGAAGAATGATCAGCTGCAGCGGGCTAAACCGGCAAGTCGAACTGGGGCGCCATCAGGGGGTACGGGTGCGGCAAATTATCGTGGCGATGGAAACGGGCAGAGAACTGCAAGCTCGGGGCCAGTGATAGGAGGGGGACGTGTTCGTGGACTGACTGGAGGGAAGCGGCTGAGCTGGGAAGACCAGCAACTGCGCAGAGCGTAGGGACTCTGTTTCAACTGTGACGAACGCTTCACCATTGGGAACAAGTGTAGCGGCGCGAAGATTATGTGCTTGTTCGAGGAAGAGGAATTGGAGAACCAACCTTGGGGACAAGGTTGAAATTAAGGGGGGTTGGGTCGGCTAGGGTAGGAAACTAATAGGGTTGCGTACTATATAAATGTAAGTTTGGCATTAGTTCGTATTATCAGAGAATAAACCTAAAAACAGTCTTACGACACTTTACGTCGTTCTCCCGCTTGTGAGTTACAAGCAAACTCCCGAACCAAGAGTTTCGGTTCATCATTATTGCTCGTAACTCTACCAGAGCTGCAATCTTCTGGATCATTACTCCAGACAAAATCACCGAGAGTCAGGGTGCTTCCTGGATTGCTGAATTTCTAGACAGGATTTGAGTCCCATTTTCTCTCTCCCTCTCTCTTTTTTGCCAGGGGCAGCCCGATCTGCCTAGCAATTTTGTTCTTTTTTTTTTGTTTCTTCACCTGCAGGCGGGCTCTTGCTCACTCTCTTGTGGCTTCGGTTGGGTTCCTTGTTGTCCGCTGCTTACTTTTTGCTGTGTTTTTTTCTTTCTTTCTTTCTTTCTTCGATTCAGCTCTTTTGAATCCTCTTCTTTGTACACTCTGTTTTTTTTTTTTTTATTTGAATGCAATCATCATTATAAAAAAAATTCTTTCCCCATTAGTTTGGCCCTGCTGTAGTTTTTACAGAAGCAGTTTCTAGCTGGAGTTCGGGGTCGCTTGGACGAAGATTGGACATTCGGCGGGAGGCTGATGGAACACACGGGCACGCCTAAAACCTACACGGCTGTGTGGCCTGGCCGTGTGACATCAAATTGCACGGCCAAAGTCACACGGGCCGTGTAAGGGACCCTTGATGGCCGTGTGAAAATTCCAAGGAACTCACACAGGCATCCTGGAATTCCATACGGCCGTGTGGGTCGTGGCCGTGTAGGAAGCCTGAGTCACTTATCAAAACGCCGCGGTTTGCACATCTCACACGGGCAGCTGGGGATGTCACACGGCCGTGTGAGTCGGGAATTTCTGGGTTTTTAACCCAATTAGCAGCAAAGGAGAGGGGGTTCCGAGTTTTAGAGAAAGAAAGCGATTCCTAGAGAGAGAAAGCGATGAACCAGAGTTCCCAAGTGCCCTAGCTTGATCTTCATCACCATTGGAGCTCAGCTCACACTTGGAGAAGTGTCGATTGACGACCAGGAATAGAAATCCATCCTTCACAGCATGATTTCTGCATCTGAGCTTGCTTTTGCTTCTCTCTCCATGGAGTAACTTCCTCATTCATCTGGGTATGGAGAACCCTAGATTTGTATGTTAGGTCTGATTGTATGAACCCAAGTACAGATTCTATGATTTGATTATATTCAATTGAGGTTTGATTTGTTGAATGGCATGAATACTGATCGAATTCTTGTTGTTTCTGCTTTAACCTAGAAAGAGAATATCTGGCTAGGTTGATAGAGCACCCTTAATCGAAGGTAGTGAATTGGCGACTTTAGTCGAGGAGCCAATTCACTATTCTGTACCGAATTTGCTTCGGTAGAGGAGGTTTGGTACGTTAGGGCCTTAATCTGTTTACTCCGGTGGAGGTTAGTCGCCTGCTGGGAACTCAGATTGAGAGGGTCTGGAGACCTTTAGTCGAGACTTCAGACTGCTTAAGAACCTCCCGCAGTATAACTATCATTGAAACTGAACTTGGTAAATTACAATCCGGTTTAACTGCAGTCTAGGGGGAACCATATCCGGGTGACCTCTCTCAACTTGAAAACAACCTTCTTGCTTGCTTTGCTTGTTTGTTAGTTTGGACCTTCACTAAAGTTTCACTGCTAAATAATAAGAATTCACTGAGTAGTCATCACATCTAGGACCCGGGTTGACATTAAAACCCAAACCTGCTATACTACGCATTAGGAAGTGGTTACACTTGGCCATTTTCTAGAGTGACGGTTGGAGCGAGTCAAGTTTTTGGCGCCGTTGCTGGGGACTCTGCCTGCCACCACTATTCAGAACCCTCGTGAGCCTCACCAGCACCAGCAGCTAGATGCCATCACTACCAGGAGCAGCAAGACCACATTGGCTGCTCCTGCCCAGCCCATGCAGGACGAACCACTACCTGTTTGAACACTTCCAGCTCACAATGCAGAAGTGGGGGGGGGGGGGGGGGGGGGGAGGGGGGGGACAAGGAAGCACCTGCTCCCAAGCCACAACCAGTGGTTAAGGAGCATTTACCCCAGCTTCCTTTCCCCACTCGCTTACATAAAGACAAACTAGAGACTGAGTTTTCCAAGTTCATGGCAATGTTGAAGCAGGTCAACATCAGTATGCCGTTCGTGAAGGCACTGTCGAAGATGCCCAAGTATGCCAAGTTCATGAAAGACCTCCTCACCAGCAAGAAGAAACTTGGGGATCTTTCGACAGTGATGCTGAGCGAGGAGTGTTCTGCTATCCTGCAGAACAAGCTGCCCGAGAAGCGTAAAGACCCAGGGAGTTTCACTATCCCTCTTGTTATTGGCAGCATGCATGTAGAAAATTCCTTGGTGGACCTAGGCGCCAGCATAAATGTCATGCCTTACA